GTCTACTCCCTCAAAGTGTGAGCCCAGATAAACCCTTTCTTCTCTAAGTTGTTTTTGTTAGGAATTCTGTCACTACAAAAAAAAGGGTAACAGGATTTTACAGAAGTCTTTATTATGGGAACTCAACAGAAATGGGGAAATAGAGACTCACAGATACAGGACAAAGTGGAAGCCACAGCGGGTCCAACTGCCATGTCCTGCCAGTCTTAACCACGGGAGATGTGAACAACCACAAGGCTTACTTCTGCTCCAACACCCCAAAAGAGAAAGTGAGACCCCTCCTCTTCCTTATAAGAAATCATATCCAAACACAGAAGCTACACCTGAAGACCAGTATCCCCAAAACTATTGGTGGAATAAATTCCCACAACACTTCCCCTTTAGTCTAAATAAGAGAAGGTTCTAAACCTAATACAAAACTATATAGTAAGAACAAATATTGAGTATTGTCCAAAAGAAAGAAAGGGTAATAACACACCCAAAAATAGAACTACAACCAACAAGAACACCAAGCAAGAAACACATACAGGTGACAGGTAATTGGCAAAGAACAAAAATTATTCCAATAGCTGTCTTATCCTAAAACATCTGAGCTAAGATGTGACTATCTAGCCTTCAATCCCATTAAAGACCCCAGAAGGAAAATAACATTACCAGAGCAAGCAGGAAGTGCAAGCAGGTGACTTCCAAAAGATGAAAGAAATGACAGAAACAGCTGGTTGTCTGGACAGTCACCCAGAGTCTCTCTGCAGCGTTGGTGCAGTCAACTGTGGCCGAAGGCCTGGAACATCTCACAGACCATTTTCAGAAGCAGCAGACTTGTCTTGGCAAGGTTCAGCAGTCATTTATCTTTGTAACCTGCTTGTCCAGACTGGACAGCATGCTTACTGATAGCAATGAAGGCAAGGGCAGTTCTTTGCCCAATAGACCAGTTTTGCAAAGAAGAAGACAAGCTCATGTGGGGTGTCTCCAGTGCCCGTCATTTGCTCTGGAATAGCTTGGTGCTTCCAGGAGCAGTCACATCTCATGTCAGCAGAATCCTAGATTATTAAAACATTTCAATGCCATGTTCTGTAGATCTTTGAAGTGTTTGAAGATTATCCATCTATGGGGGAACATCTCTATGCATCTAGAGAACCAAACATAACTAGGAATGACAAACATGGATGACTATAACCTGTACTTCTCAATAACCTACATAGCTTACAGACTAGAGCATCACATAGAAAACTGAGCAATCTTTAAACATATGTGCAACATGAGGACAATGACCTCTAAATTGTGGCAATACATGTATAAAAATATCTTGATCAGAGGTAGTATAGTAAAATATGACAAAAAGTCCTTAAATTGTAACAATATACAAAATATCTTAAGCATATATAGAAACATTCATACATGTAGTACAACAAAAATATTTTTACATATATAATATGGAACATGTATAATATGGCGTATATAATTTTGAGTTTGTATCAATATACACATTATCTTAGAAGGAATACAAAAATAATTCTACATATGCAACAATATACAAGAGTCTACAACAATGTAAATTGCCAATAATTAATAGTTGCTAAAATAGTTTAAAAGTAGATTATATTAATGTACCTTATTAGCCTAGCCTATTTACTCTTTTTTCTATATCAAACTAGATTCTTGAGTCTATTATTAATATGTTCCCAACCCTAATAATAAATTAAAAGCAACCCCGAGAAAAATCCAAAAATCGTCCATCACAACTGTTGGGAGAGTGGGCATCATTTTTTTTTTGAGAATTACTTCCAGCTGTTTTGGGGGCAACAATATCTCTATGGGATCCTGTAAAAAAACAAAAATGATGGCTAAGTCTCAAGAGTACTGTCTGTAACAATCAGTCTATGAATAGTGGATAGGGTTATCTGGAGTTCTTATAAGAAATTCTGGCTAGAGAGTTGTTAAGAAGGTGGACTAACTCAGCGAGCCAATTTGGAGTTGTAGAATTGTCTTGAGCAGGTTTATTTTTATTTTTGTTTTTGTTTTTGTCCAAAGTCAATCTTTGAGTGGTGTTTATCAGCTCCATGGAATCATTATAAACCAGGTGGAGTCATTGTTGTGGGCCCCATCTTCTTTCTGGAGATTTTAGAGATTGCTGTTGGGAAAACGTATTGTTTTCTGTGGAAAACTTAAACATTGTTAACATCAAAATGGAGAGTTTAAATATTTTATAGATATGCATCCAAAGAAAGGCACTACAGAGATGAAAATAAATATGGGGAGAAGTAGAATTTGGGGGAGGAAACAGAGTTTTGACAACAATAGTCCCTAGATTTTTGGTTTTCTTCTGTCCCACACTAGGTGACTCTTCTGATGCGAAACAGAAACTCTGAATTTTTCTTTTAGCAACATGCTTGAATTTAGAGAAGAAGAGAACTATGTTCCAACTCCAAAGCCAGCTTTGATTTTTAACTGAGTCAGGACTCCACTGAGAGGTATAGATGTTTAGGTAGTGAGATTTTACCCTGCAGAGAATATAAGTACCATAGGGCAGATTTCTCTTTGCTCAGTAATTTTTTCTGGATAATTTTTAGATGTCTAGATGTCCAAGGTCTTTTGATTGTTTTGAAGACAGCTAATTCTATTTTCCTGTAAAGGCAAGAACATAACCCTGTCCTGACCCTAGTGAGTTTTTCTTACAACATGTAGGATTGTCACACCAGGGGATGAGCTATCCTTCCTCCTTATCAAGAGGTTTCTCCTGTTTGAATTGAATCTTAATTAATTTTGATAGTATCCATAGATTTTCTTCTCCTGTGGAAACGAAAGGGAAACCCTTTCGCCAACATAGCATATATCCTGGTTTTCTTTCTGAGTTCAAGATTTAACTCAGAAGTGTTTTCTATTGTACAATGTCTCTCTATAGCTGTTGTTCCTTTCTTATTAGCATTAAGAAAATTTAAGGTTAATAGGGCATTATGCAACTTATCTGGTGGTGGGTCTTGGTTCCCCCTACCTGCTTATTAAGCATTTTTAAAAGCGTGATTCAATCTCTCAACAATTGCTTGTCCTGTAGAATTGTGTGGTATGCCTGTAATATGCTTTATATTATAGTATTTTAAAACTGTTTCATTTTAATAGAGACATGTGCTGGAAAATTGTCAGTTTTAATTTGTGCAGGTATACCCATGATGGACATAACTTCTAATAGCTGTGTAGTTACAGAATCAGCCTTTTTAGAACTCAAAGTACTTGCTCATTGAAATCATGTAAGCATGTCTATTGTATGGTGTACATATTTTAATTTTACAAATTTTGTAAAATGAAATACATCAATTTGCCAAATTTCATTTCTTTGTATATTTTTAGGCTTACTTTTTGCAGGTAAAGGAGTTTGGTTTTAGAAGGAACATTTTTCTATGATTTCCTTGACTTGTTGCCAAGTAATAAAAAAAATCATGTTTTTTAAACCTTTGCTATTGACAAGGTGTTTTTTATGAAAATTTGAGACCTGCAGCACACTCCCTATTAATAACTGATTAATTTCCTCATTACCTTGAGCTAGAGGACCTGGCAGACTCATATAGGATCTGATGGGTGATATATGTATGTGTATATATATATATCTGATGATTCATATTCCTGACTATTTCCTGTGATTGTATAAATAATGAAGTTAATTTTGTTTCATTAGGAATAAATCCAGAAGTTTCAATGTGTAAAACAATTCTTTCTGCATATTGAGAACCATAACTGTATTGAGAGAGGTTCTGTAAAGTTCATTAGTACCATAAGAATGACATACAATTCTGCCTTTTGCACAGAGTTATAAGGGTTTTGAACCACTTTACTTATATTTCCTGATTTATATCCTGCCTTTCCTGATTTATTTGCATCATTATAGAATGTAGGGACTCCAGAGATTGGTGTTTTCCTTACAATGCATGGAAGGATACAAATGATTCTTTTTATGAGTTTATTTCTCTCATTTGGGGGATAATTGTTGTTAATCTTTCACAAAAATTACTGCAAGCTCTTTGTCAATATTTATTATCTCTCCATAAAGAGGAAATTTCCTTGTTAGTTAAAGGCACTATTTTTTTCTGCTGGGTCCATTCCTGTCAGTTGATGAAGTCTTTATTTCCCTTCTAAAATTAAATCAGAAATATTTTCCATATAAGTCTTTCATTTCTGATTCTGTTTATGTGGTAGGAATATCCATTCCAATATAATATCTTCCCTCTGCATCAAAACCCCTGAAGGGGGTCCCTAGGGAATACTGTAGCCAGAATGCAGGTAAAGCTTCGGATCCACAAGATCCACACGTGCCTCTCACATTCTCTTTCCACCAAAGCTAATTCTTTATCAGCTTCAACTGATAATTCTCTCAGACTATTTAAGTTCTTCTCCTCTTCTAGGGTCTTGGCCAAATTATTCAGTTCATAAGTTTCTAATCCAACAGTGGTCTTTAAGATAGGAAATCTCTCCTAGCCATCTTTGAAAACCATTAAGAAGCCACAATAGATCTCTCCTGGTCTGTACCTGCTGTGGTCTAATATTATATAGACCTATTTTATATCCTAAGTCATTAACAGAATCTCCTTTCTGTATTTTTTTCAGTAGCAATTTATAATCCCTAGCAAGGCAAAAACTTTCTTTACTTCTTAGAACATTTGTCTCTAAGGTTTTGACCTTTGAATCAGCCAATAAAATATCATCCATATAATGGTAAATTATATATTGTAGAAAATGCACATGAATTAATTACAATTTTTTTCCACAAAATATTGGCACAGGGTGAGGCTGTTTAACATTCCCTATGGGAAAAACCTTCCATTGATATCTCTTGACCAGCTGAAACTTATTATAAGTAGGCACTGTGAAAGCAAATTTTTCGCTATATTTTTCTTGTAAAGTTATAGTGAAGAAATAGTCTTTTAAGTCAATAACTGTAATAGACCATCTTTAGGTAACAGAGAAAGCAAAGGCATTCCAGGATGTAAAGAGCCCATCGGCTGAATTACCTTATTTAAGTCTCTCAGGTCTATCAGCATTCTACATTTTTACAGACTTCTTTTTAATAACAAATGCAGGAGAATTCCAAAGGCTGGTAGATTCTTCAATATACCCAGCATTTATCGGCTTCTGAACCAGATGTTCTAAAACCTGTAGCTTCTGTGATGTCACAGGCCATTGCCTAACCCAGACAGGTTTGTCAGTTAACCATTTTAAGGGTAAGGTCATTGGTACCACTGAGAGTTCGACAGCTACTGTTTCCTATTTCTGTACAGCTTGAATGGCTGGTGACTGTTTTTTATAGTTTGTATAGTTCCAAGAAGCATGAGTTGGTTTATGGTCTGTTTCTGAGACTGGAGGAGTGTTAATCTAGGTATTCCATTGCTGCAACAGATCATGACCCCACAGATTCACTTCTATATTAGCTACATATGGCCTCAGCCTTCCTCTCTGTCCTATGCATTAAACCCATCTTGTGCTTCATTTTACCTAAGATAGGGTTTCAGTCCCTAGGAATTAAACATCTACCTCCTGAAGAGGCCAATTCTACAGTATTAATAGTCACGTCTTTACCTGTGTCAAATAATCTCTTAATTATAATGTCATTTATTTGTATTCTTAGCTTTGGCCGTTTACAGAAGTCTATCAAAATATATGTTTTCTGTTTACTCCTGGAATTTTTGATTCATCCTCCAAAGCTATTCTATCATCCAGAGCAGTGTTTTGTTTGTTTGTTTGTTTGTTTGTTTTGTTTTTACAGTAAGTACAGGATTTGCTACTTGTCCTGGAAATGACCATACCACGTTTGACACAGGGGCCTCCAAGAGGCCCCCCAAGGAGTTTCCTGATGGTAAAGTGTTGCCTTGCTTGTCTCTTGTTGATCTACATTTCATTGATTCAATGTCAGCCTTCTGCATGACCCAGAAGGCTGGGCCTTCTACTTGGATCATTCCCAGAAGAAACATTATTTCTAGGAACACTCTGCTTACAATTCCTTCTCAGATGACCTATTCTACCACAATTGAAACATTTGGTATTTCGATGTCTCTTAATACTTTAGGAAATCACTTCTCCTACCTAAGCCTCATTATTATAGTCAAGAAACTCAACATTGTGCAAGGTTGGGTGCCAGGTGTAACAGGATTTTACAAAAGTCTTTATTATGGGGATTCAGCAAGAAATACAGACTCAGAGAGCCGCTGCCTGAGGCGTCTCACCCATCCCGCCCCCTCCCGGCACCTCAGACGCAAGACCATTCATCAAAGAGTGTGCATCCAAGAGCTGAAAGTCTGTTACCCAAGATGATGAATGCTGACATGGATGCAGTTGATGCTGAGACTCAGGTGGAACTGGAAGAAAAGATGAGACTTATTAATCAAGTGTTGGAACTGCAGCACACACTTGAAGATCTTTCTGCAAGAGTAGATGCAGTTAAGGAAGAAAATCTGAAGCTAAAATCAGAAAATCAAGTTCTTGGACAATATATAGAAAACCTCATGTCTGCTTCTAGTGTTTTTCAAACAACTGATACAAAAAGCAAAAGGAAGTAAAGGCTTCACTTCCCTCTCATCTGTGGAGTTGCTGCTTTTTTTTTCTTAAAGCTTGGATATGATCCAAAAGTTACAGTATCCTTTGCTTCCTTGAGTATTTATAAAGAGAATGCCAGATCTAGGTAATATTAACTGCTTAACAGGAAACGTCCCTGAGTTAATGTTATATGTATTACATTAGTCTATGAAAATGTGCAAATGTAGAGACTTTATAATTAGAATGATAGATATTTATGAAACTTGAAGATAAATGTTTTGCCAATGCTTATATATCTATAGGCTTAGCACTGTCTTTTATCATATGCCTAACTAGTAAACTATACAAGAGAATAACCATGTGAACAGTGACCAAACCATGTACTGAATGCACAGCTTCTGTACCCTGTCCACCATCGTGTGCCTCTCCCCCATCTCCCTGACGGTAACTTCAGTAGTTGTCACCTACCAGAGTAACCTGAACTGTAACCAAAATAAGATACTTTCTTAGCTAAGGCTTGCCATTTGTAATAGTTAGTAATAAGATAGGATCGATGGTTTCTCTTTAATCAATTGAAGATAGATTGAAGCTATAAAAATGAAGGGTTTTCTTTGAAATGTAAATTGTCCCAATGAGAAGCTAAAAGTCCCTTTTACACAAAATAGCCCGTTTGGTGTTAAAAAGATAAGAGTGCTGGCCACATGTATGTGAGAAATAGAAAATCTTGAGGAAAGATACAAATAGGGAGGAAAACTGGATAACAGAAGTAACCAACTCCAAATGTTTTCTCTCCAGATGTGTGTTACCTCTGGGCCACAGCTGCAACTTTGGGACAGTATGAAATCAGACTAAGTCTGATGTAAGCAGGTTAAGTAAGTCACATGTCAGAGGACCAGTTAAGAGTTTGGTCTCAAGGTTTGTACCCAGGAAATAAACTTTTACAAAATTAATTGAGAGTATATTAGTATATGAATCATGAATATAAGAGTTTTGTATATGCGATGATTGTTAACATTAGTATTTTATCTCAGTTGTTTTTCCCAGAATTTCTGTAAGTGCAACCACTTTGCAGAATTTCAGTAATTTCTTTTAACAATTTTAAAATTGTTTGGTTTGTAGCTTCCATTTGATAAAGGAGTTGATATCAAGAATAATGTTAAAATGTTACAACAGGAAAGACCCACTAGTGCAGCTGATGGCTCTCAGGTTGGGCTGTGTTGACTTGTGGGATCATCAAATGTATTAGTGACAGTAGCTACATGGACATGTAATCCTCACATTGCAGATATTTTGCAACCCTTTTGTGACTGCATTACAAATATTTAAAATTGTGTTCTGCTTTGCTGTTTAATAAAAAGCTGTTTCAGAGAAAAAAAAAAGAAATATAGACTCACAAATACAGGACAAAGTGGAAGCCACCATGAGTCCAACTGTCATGTCCCACAGTTCTGCCCAAGAGAGATGTGAACAACCATAAGGCTTGCTTCTGCTCCAACCTCCCAAGATATAAGTGAGATCCCTCCTCTTCCTTATAAGAAATCATCTCCACGCACAGATGCCACACCCAAAGACTGGTACCCCAAAAACTATTGGTGTAGTGAATTCCCACAAGTAACAAACACAGTTCCCAAAAGAGTCTGCATTATAGAAAGAGCCTCACTTCTCAGTTTATCCTGCTTCATCTCATTACATGATCTCATCTTCATCCAATACTGCTGCCACTGTAGGACCTCACCAGACAACAGAGGCTACCAGATCTTGGAACTTCATCCTACAAATTAAAACTGTTTTTTATAAAGTACCCAGCCTTTGGTATTTTATTATAGCACCAGAACCTAGGTTAACATATCAAACCAAGACCTGAAAATGTCCATGGGAAGATTTCCCAAGAGAATGGCTTAAAGGGCTGAGGGGATTCTATCATCTCATCTGTGTGACAGAGATTTACACCCACAGATTCCACCTCCACAGTCTCCTCTTTCAGGTGCCATGCCCCAGACTGTCCCGCGCTACCGTCTCGCCAGCAAGAACGACGCAGAACACTCGGATCCTTCTGCAGTAAAGCTTTAATGCATCTTGAGAGATAGATGATCAGCTTCTTAGAGGGAGACCCCAAGCTAAGAAACCCAGCCCCTTATATAAGCCTAGGAGCTCCGAGTGAGACGTGTAGAGCCGGGATTGGTGGTTTGCACATCACCCCAGATGACGCCACGGGAGAGGCACAGCTTAAACGGTTAACTCCAACTGACAGCAGATGTCAGCGCCATCTTCTAACGGCAATAGCGATAGCGAGGGCGGCTCCTCACACCAGACTATGCTGAAATCTGGGGATAGAAAAAGACCCAAGATCCTTAACTCAGATGGAGATGTAAGGCCTGAGCCTCCAACTCATTTCCCTCTTTGGTTTCCTTTATGGTACTGTGTTTTGAAGTGAATTGTTGTGAAATAAAATTATTTGGTAAATGACAAACTATTACTTCTCTCATGACAAGTGTGGGGCGGTAGGCAGTACTCACACATTCAGCTAACATCTGAGCACTGAGTTTGGGTGTCTACAATGGTTTCCTAATGCAGCTGTAGAAAAATATATACTTGGAAACTCAAGCCACAGTTACCATTGGGAACATCTATTTTTGTTTACAGAAGACTCCAAGTTAGGAACTGTCAGAGCACAGACTGCTCAAGGAGTGCCCTCAGCCTTCTGTTTTGACATCTCCACTGGAAACAACACTCAAGGCACAAATTCATCATTCTTCCAGCACATAGCTGAGGAGCCCTCTGTGTAGAACTTCTCAGAAAGAGATTCCCCAAGAAGAAAGTCCAGTTTGAAAGGCTGGATCTGCATCAGAACTTTAGAGTGTTTGGTGCATAGATGTCTCTAAGAAACACACTCTGAGATCTCAGGCCTAGTCAAGCAGAAGAGACTGCATGTGGCCTAGGAGACCACTGATGGCCAAGACAGTGTGTAGATCCTCTGCCAAGTGATATCATCTCATCTAGTAGTCTGGCATATCTTAGTAAGAGTTTGAAGCCAGCTTCATCCCTGAAGGAGCTCCTGGCAGAATTTGTCACTGTTATTTAACCCATTGTATTTCACCAGGAGGGAACACAATGACAAGAAGGAGTTGAAGCTGCCTGGGTGCCATGGGGATGATTTTTGTCACATGAACAAGGAGTACATTTGGGGGGCCCATGATAGAGATTTTGATAAATTAACCGTTTTAATTCAGACGTTTCTATGACTGAATGGGTCCTTCATATGTTGCAGGGACCCCTCTTCCTCATTTTGATTCCATGTTCTTTTTCCTTGGGCAGAATTTTCCAGAAGTGGGTATATTTTTACTAGTCCCTTTGAAGAGCATGACCTTGGCCTTATTTGACAGCTCTGTTTGGGGATGCATTTGCTTGGTGTTTTTGTTTTTGTTTTTGTTTTTGTTTTTGTTTTGTTTTGTTTTGTTTTGCTGTGGTGGTAGTCTCTAACATAGTCACCTCAGTTTAATCTATATAAAAATAGCATTCTTCCCTTTTCCTTTCGGGTCACATTTGCTCCTTTTCTATGCTTTATAAAGTTGCCTGCCTTTCTCTTTTCAATGATAAATAACACTGTCTAAAGTTGTGACCTTCTCTGTGAATATGATTACATCTGCATCCTGAAAATTCATACCATGTAGTTTTTTTATTTAATTAAAATATATTTACATCATTTTCCTCTTCCCTTTCCTACCTCCAGCCTCTCGTGTGTTTCTCCCCTCCCCCTCTTTCTTTAATATTATTGTCACATCTATATAAGCTAATAAATATATTGTAAAAGGCAAAGGAGATCTTTTAGAAAAACAATCTTTTAATTACACCATTAATTTTATGACAGACACATTAGGGAGTTTTATCATTATGAGTCTACCACTAAAAATCTTGATATTAACAAATACTTTGAAATTACCACAGCATCGTAACCTATGATGATCTATATGTTTTCATCCATGGTCAACTCCTGAGAGGCAGTTACTTCCATATGAATGGATTGCATTGCTAGCAAAGCTGAATGTCTTACGTACTTGGTGGCCACTGTTTGGACTGTTTTTTTTTCTTGCCTTTACCTTTTCATCCTTATTCTTTGCTCTTTTCCATGTATATTGCAACTATTTTGGCCACTGTATTATTAGATTTTTTAATTTGCTTATTTTTTCTTGTAAGATTTTCAAAAATTTGTTCCATCCAATATAGCAATCTTTTTCTCTCTCGTGGTTTTAGGAAGATCTTACACAGTGAAGGTTGTACTATTTAACATTTGTTACTATTTGTTTACATTTGAATCTTCGAAGCATCCGTATCCCCCTGGGTATCCGAAGCACTCAGGCCCAATCCCTGGATGCTGTGCTGTCTGTCATTCTCCTATTTGCTCACTCTCCCTCTGCCTCCAGCCTCAGCACCCACTGTCAGCAAGACAGACACGATTGTCCCAAAAACAGCAGCTCCCTCTGACCTGATGGCAGACACACTGGACAACACGTATTTACAGGTGTGTCAAGCGTTGAAAGAAGACCCCAGACCCCCAGCTCCTGCATCCAAAAGCCTTGTGAAAAGCAGCAAGCTCAACCTCCTCCCCAGCCCAGAGCCCTTTACCTGCTACTCCTGTGTCCCTTCCAGACTGTGACTCCATGAATGCTTGCTCAAAATGTCTGTGAATGCCCAAGTGGCCATGGAGGCTGCTGAGAAAGAGGATGACAGAAGTCCTTGAGTCTGAGAGGAGTTTGGGAGGAAGAACTTTCAGCCCTGCACTCTCTGGAGTTGGGGCTCAGCGGGGCCTCCCCCACGTCCTTCACTCACCCTGTGTTTTGGCCAGGGTGCCCTGGTTCTGCAGGAGCAAACAATCTCTGTATCTTTATAGCACTCAAAAAGCTGACTTCTTGTTGGTGGGCATCTACTGTGGCCCCAGTGAACTGACTGTCGTTCCTATCTCAGCACGAGTCCCTTGGTGACTTCTGTGGCAAGGGAAGAGAGGCAGCTGGCAGTGCCCTGAATATTATTATTGCCGCCATCTG